TGGTCATGGCGGCTATGATGCTTGCGTCGCTGGTGCCAAAAATTCAGCGTGGAGAGGTTAAAGGAAGTCTGATGACGTTAACGACTAGACGTTTGTGTGGAAGCTGCGTTCACTATATAATCGTAGCAGATGTTTGCCGTGAACAAAACGTTGTCAAAAATAGCACCTTTCCGAAACCAATTTGAAACTTATTCAAGAAATCGCACTTGGTTGTACATGGGGAAGCGGGAAGTGCAGCGCCCTGGCAGGAGCGGTGCAGGATCTCGAACGCTTGGCCCGGGCAATGTTGGCATCGCGCATTTCTTCAAAATTGGTCTCAGGATGCCTTCATTACATTGGATTTAGTCCAGTGGCAAACATTGGGGGCACGGCGGCTGGAATTCTGAGCAGTTCGCTAGTAATGACGCACTCGAACAGTTCGTCCTCAGTGACGATTCTCGTTTTTGATCAGTTTATCCAGATACTTCGGGAAGAACGAAACCGTTGTCGAAGACTCAAATTAACTTAGTGACTTCTTCAAATGTGGATGTTTTGAGGTGGACACTGGAAAGCAGAGCTGCATCAGCAATGGTCTATTGTTTTACAGTGGTCCTGCAAACAAGTATGCGTATGCGTCGTGTTTGTTTTTATGTCTGAATTTTGTCCTGATTTGTTTTTGGGTTTTCTTCATTGATGGTTGCACTCTCCAACATCCACAAGTCCGCAAGACAGACCAGCATGCAAAGGTAGTGTTTGAAGTCAAGTCATTCTTCCACATTCAGCAGCAATGTGATACGTTGCTGCTGGACAAGACTCGACAGAAGGCAGTATCTTGCAGAAATCATTGGATGCTGGAAAGGTAAACTCTGTTTAAGGTCTCTATGATTTTCCATGCTCAGCCGTCAGATGTGAAACGGGCTGTGTTTAGGTAAACATGTTTGTTCTGCAGCAAACTGCGCGCAACACTTTACTTATATAGAAGGTTTTTGTTTGGAAGAGGTGAGGAATCCCGGAATCAGATCAATTTGGTTAGTTTAATTTAAGACATAATCATTGCATGTTCAACCTCTTGAACAACGCCACAATGACTTTTGCTCCATCCTGGCAACATCTGTGACCGGATGTGTTTCACTGAAAGCGAACCAAAGAACATCAACATATACCACCCTTCAGCCACAGTCAACAACTCTGAATCCTTTTTTTGAGTAGCACCCCAGCACCGGACGGAAGACCCACCTGGTTCCTCAAGTTGTTGACCTTCCGCGGCGAAACACAAAAAACTATTTCATGCATTCATTCAATTCCAGAACCATGGAAGTGAAACATGATCCCCTTGGATGACAGATGATTTCCGGCTTCCATGTTTCATCAGTCGGAGTGTACGTATTTCATCGCAATTTCCCAATCAACAGACCTGACCTGTAGTGAGCTACCTCCTCGAGAGGTTCAACCTTCGACCAACCAGTTTCTACATCAAAATGTTTGCTGAGAGGCGCGCCAACTCTGAGTTGCCGGGTCTCATTGCAAGCCTTTTAGAGCTGAATAAGAAGGCGAGGTCCACGGGCCTTTCATCTGATTCAGGGATGATGGACGGTTCTCAGGGATGATGGAGGGATCTGCAAAGTTGGCTGCTTCAAAAACATCTATGGATTGGTGGAGGGAGAAAACTTCACCGCGGAAAACAATGAACTTAGTTCAATATCAATGGTGGGGGTTCTTCCTTCCCACCAACCAACCCTTGACACGAACGTGGCAAATCGCGTTTGGATGATTTTGGGAGTTTCCGATGACTTGAGAAGCACCAACATGCGATGTGGGTTTACCTTGCGTACCACAAGCTCAAACCCAATCGTTCATCAAAACTATTCCTAGTGAAACAATTCTAACTTGGGGCCGGTATCCCCTATGTTTGGACAAACTCAGTTCCATCGAAAGTTCTTGTGGCGGCCAATATTCTGGAGCCTGTGCATTCATTGCACATGTCCCAAATGCCGGACAAATCAGTTGCTTGCTTCTAGCGCATACTCATATTCGGGTTTCAGATTACCTCCATCTACTGGAAATCGCTTGTCGAAGGTCAGATGTAGTCATGTGATCCAAGTTTTGTCACCCAAACATACTCACACTTTGAAGACGTAAATCAATAGATTGCCCAATGCGATATTCCCCAAACCCGAGCCACCCATCAGGCACCCTCCCCACCAAGACCTTCGCAACCATTGGTGGCCTGTCCACACTCAACGGCTATCCACACATCCAGGTGTCGCAATTGTATTTACAAAGCAGTTTTCACCATGTGCAGAGCATTTACAGCCGGTACGCGAGAATTGCCAACATGTGCCATCCAAATCATGTTGCTTCAATTGTTTCTCTGGGAAGGCTCCCAACGAACGGCAAACTTTGTAAATGGTGAGCAAGATAGCACAGTTGTTTCTTTACTCTTAGCTCTTCGCAAGTGGGATACTTGGGAAATATGACCAGATTTCCAGTATTCCAAAATACCATACATTATGATTTTATCGTTGGAGATAGGTTCCATGGCTAGAATAGATCAGTCGATGATTGTGCCAACACGGAGCTGTCAGACCTTGAGAGAAGAGGACTTCTCCTCCAAGCACCGGAAGGCCAGTTTTCACCCGGTGTTCACTGAGTTTCATGGATGGTGTATAGCGGGGCAATGCATTATGTGCATACATATTGTAATATATATGCGGATGTCAGCCACAACAATAGTTTGGGCCGTGTTGTGTTCAGTGAGATGCAATAGGCGCTGCTGGCAATTGACATCGCCGGGAGGCAGAACGAAATGAATACCGCCGATTGCAAGGGGAGGACTGGGTTTGTTGATTAGCGGCAGAAGGGGAAGTTTGGTGCAGACACTACGACTTCATACACTAGTATATATACTTTAACTATATGTATAGCTATATATGCATATATACAGTGTTGTACTGGTGCTGATGTTCGTGATGGTGATGATGAGGATGACGAGTATTCATGCTGCAGGATGTGTTCCGGGTGTTTTTGGTATGACATGAAATACCCCACAGCCTCTCAACTGTCAATTTCCAAGCCAAAGCCTCGACTCGTACCCTCAAAGTTTTTGTCACCTTTGATACACAATGCTCAAACTATTTATAGTACTGCTAGTAGTACTGCTTCACATTTTGTGTGTTACAGGTTCTTTGGTGTTCTAGAGTCAATGAGGCAATAGAGTCGTTGATATACCTCTCAGACCCGCATAGGCTGCTCCGATCTCTACAGGACTCAGTAGTTAACTTGAACTTTGAAAGTTGTTTATTCAAATCAACCACTTTAAAAATGTGCATTGAAATTTGTGACTCATTGTCATTGTTGTACTCACTTCTGCGGATGATCCAAATAAGGTTCCCAGAATTAAGAACGTATTGGCCAATAATTATCGCACCAAGTTCCGCCGGACCAACATTCGCAAGGATGTGACAGATTTGCCTGTAATGTTTAATTAATGCATCTCTCAAGAATCCGTTCATAGGAGTATGACTGTCATCCCGCATGTAGTCACAATGTAGTCATGAAAACTACGGTTCTTAGAATCCACGAATATATCATGACTAATTATACAGCGTATATTTTCAGACTGGTGTATTTCTTAATGATCATTCTATACAGGGTCATCCTTAAAAAAGTACATCATCCCACAAAAGCTCCCCTGACTAGGCTGAGTGAGCTGGACGTGGATCTGAGCGAAGCTCCCGAGCAGCCATGTGCAGAGCTGGAACCAGGCGAGGGCCAGATGCCCTGGAGGCCAGGGTGTTTCATCCCTCCATCAAATAGAAAACATGCTGGGATTTGTGACGTGATCTTGTATATGACGTAGCAATGATGGGACATGATGTTAAATGAGATGATGTGAATTGATGTGATATCTTGTGATGTGGCAAGTCATGAGACTTCGCATGTGCGCTTCCCAAAGAAATCCATCTATGGTCAAGTGAAGGGAAGAATGGTGCTGAGGCAGCCGAACGGACGGAGATGAAGGTGGATGACAAGGGCTGGCAAACTACAGCTCGGAGCGTGACGAGGACATACCTGTGGAGGGCCCTGGGGGGCTGAAGCTGGTAGAGGATCCAGTGATGTTTGGGCTTTTGTTGCGAAGGAGCAACCTTTGAAGATCCGATCTTTGGCACATTAGATGAATTATCCAACCATCCCAGCTGACTCAGTTTAGCTCTTTCAAGGTGCTGTCAGACCTCAGACCTGCACAGGATCAAAGTGAAGAGAGCTGAGCCGCCAAGGTGAAAAAACTATGAGTCGCAGCTGGTGACACGTCTTTGTGTGGTCCTGTATATAGTTGACATAGTGAACCAAGCACAAAACCGCCCCTCTGAAAAAGTGAGTGCTTGGATGTGCGCGTCAAGGAAGATGTTGCCATTTTCTGGAAGGTTCTCGTCAGTACTGAACATCAAGTCGTGATGAAGGATGAGGTGTTTGATGTTTCGAAGGTAATTTTGGACGATCATTATTCCTGTAGGTTTGTCAGATTGCGCAGGGTATGAGTGAGGCCTATTGCGTTTGAAGATTGACCCCTTACAGTCGCTTGCAGATCCGTAAGGAAGCCTGGGCTGTGTGCCTATTGAGGATCCGCGAAATCTCACTTTTACATGTACTACACAAGACGAGGGCTGAGCGAACCTCTTCTGGCTCTCCAAATGCTACATCTTTGCAGAGCATCTCGGTGCGAGTGAATGGAACCCTCATCTTTAAGGCTAGAGGGCAACAGGCCATTTTGTTCTTGCATGGCATGATGATGATGTTGATTCAGGGCATCCCCTCGGGTTTTTTTTCGTTCCACATGGTCGGTCGTGTCCGTTTGGGGTGTCCGGCCAGATCCTTGATTCACTTGAAGGTCCTCGGTCCTCCCCCTCCTTTTGTGGATTGCACCAGATAGGCCCAACTGGGTCAGGGAGTTCATCTGGAGTGTACACATCACAATGATCACACATCTGCTAGAGTTTCCCTTTTCGGGGTTGCTCCATGAGGCTCATCCGCACTTGCAACTGCGCGAGAGCGGTTCCGAGTGGGTGGGAAGCCCCAGAGGTCACAGACAGGTCCGCCTGCTCAAAAGCGACCACAGCTGACCTGGCCGGTGAAGCATGGACCATTTTGGAGACGAGAGCATGTTGCTGGAGACCAAATGGTTTGATAAATCTGCATTGATGATCTCCAAGTGGACCATAGATGAGACTGCATCAATTGGGAGCATTTGTCGATTCTTCGCATGGATAGAGCTTGACAGTGTGAGGACAGGCGTAATTGGAAGAGACCCGGGGCTGGGTGCATTTGAAGATCTGTATACGACATCCTGCGACAGCGCGTGGTGAATCGTTTGATGACTTCATGACGGACATGAAGAATGTCCTACCTTTTGTGGGGGTAGGGTGCTCAGGAGCGAGCGGTTCGGGTCGCCCGGGAGGTATCGAGTTCAAGCAAACAGGGAGCTGTTCGGAGCTGTTCTCTTGCTAATTGATCTAGTTGTAAATCCCACTTCTGTGTGTGTGCAGTTCGTGCCTTCAAAAGCTCTGAAGGGGGGCTTCCTTCGGAAGAATGGGGTGTGTTTCGTACACCGTTCGCATCACCGCTGGCGCAATTGATCTGCTTCCTTCGCAGGTGAGTGTCTATGGAGATTGTGCCGATATGACTCTCCGCGTCGGGAGGCTGAGGAGGCAGCATCGGTGCTGGGTGACCATGAAGTAGATGATGGAGAAAGGACCAAAACCCGGAGCTCGCTTCACCCCGGTAGGTTGACCATGGTTGACCTTCTTAGTGTCCACATCTAGCAAGGGCCTTGTCACGTCTGAAGAGATTTGGAGGTGCCATATGAACAAGTAAGGCTTTGACCCGCCACACATATGGAGAAACTCCCTAACCACAGTCATCCTCGAAGAAGCGATTAGGAATAAGGTCTGGTGTGGATAAATAACCAGCACATGGCATTCCAATGGAAGACCATTTTAGTCAGGTTTTTCCAGGATTAGTCAAGGGTTTTTGCGCCTGGGTACAAGTTCATTGGCTGCAATGAGCATTTGTGCTAGGAGATCAAATCAGAACATTCATCCGGATTGTATGGTACCCTCCATGCTCATGTTCCCTGAAACAGTTCCTCAGTGCAGGCCAGGATAGGGGCCGCTTCCACCTGCAGCCGCTTCCAAGCGAAACCCCAAGGCGTCCCAGGCCAGTGTTTGACATGTGAAGCCCTGTGACACCATGAGGTCTCATTGAATCCGAGTGCAACCGGACGCAAAGTCACTCTGCACGTTGCACCAAACTGCAACTTGCCGAAAAAAGACGCCATCATACAGTCAGCAACATGTGCTCATTAAGTTGCTATTCTACAAACCCTATGGATCCACATACCTTCTCAGAAGGTATTTGGGATCTCCAAGCCTACATAAATAGTCTCCAATCACCTTCTCAGAAGCTATGTGGATCCATAGGGGTTGCTATTCTACAAGGGAAACAACCATGTTTTTGGTTTTGTGTCCCGTGCCACGGGTTTTCGTGCCAGGGGGTCCACTGAGGCTTGCACGCTCACGAACCTCTTGCCCGATCGTGTCTACGATGTGCGCATTCAGCTGGCGTGTGCCGGGCCACAGAAATTGGGCGCTCACGGAGTAGGTCTGAAAAGCACAGGTAAATAGTGGATCCCCTGCAGGTCACGTTTTGAGGGACGGACACCCCACTCAACAAGAACAGGCGGAGTTCTGACTTTTTTAGGGATGGACATGGCGAAGTGGAGACAGAGCAAGACGAGAGAGACTAGACATGGGTCTCGACATCCACCCACCTTCAGTTCGTGCACTGTCAATGGTGATGTGCCTGGATGTGATCCCATCACATCGACTTCTCCAGCGTCAAAAAACGGATGTGACTTGAGCTCCCGGCTGTAAGGGTCAAGAGACCTTGAACTATGGAACTCGAATCCTCATTCCCTGGCTTCCGTGTCATGGCTGACAAGCACCGCCCAGGGTGCACACCGTGTCGTTTTCATATGTGACATGTGTGGGAGGTAGCCAAAAATGGAACCTAGCTGTTCTTTTCTGAAATCTGGAAAAGGCCTGGAAGCCACCCCAAAACGAGGTGCCAATGAGTCGTTGAACAGCCCCTGGACCACCAGCGCCCGGACGCCCTGAACTGGCAGAGACCAAAAGGGTGAACTGGCGGAGACCGTGTTTTTGTTACTCCACAGGGGAGTGGTGCACCCGAGAATGTACGTAGGCATGTATTCCAGTCCTATGGAGTGTTGTTTCCTTTTTGCTCAGACATGTTCATGTTATTTCTGTTGAGGTCCAGAGATGCTTTACAAAGCATAAGTGCACAAGGGCTTGAAAGCAACTTTCATGCTGGCTCACAATTAATTGACTCTGATGAATATATTTATGTGAATCATCTCTTCCAACTTCTGTGCGGCTTTCCATGAAACATTCCGGCAAACTCAAATGAAAGGCATTCACCGAAACAAAAAACTGCACAACAAAAGACGGTCGGTAAAGCCCGGATGAAGGGATTGCACAGGATTTGACGCAGGGTGTGTTCCGCATTCGCAGGGCTTGGTGAAACCGATGAAGAAGGGGCAAGTCATTCAAGTTACGGGTAAGGTTTCGTACAATGAGTTGACTGATTTGTTCATTGATCTTGCAGAAGTTTAAGTGCTATATTGCTCAGCAACACATTGCTCTTCACTCCTCCGAGCTCTTGAAGGTTCCGATTGTTTTGCATCGGTTCGCTGCGCTGCGCAAAGCACATCGTAGTCTCCGTTCTCTCGGACAGGGCGTGATTTTCTAGAAGGGCTTCCCTCCTCCACCAAGGGCACTTGTCTATTTGTGTCTATTTGCTGCGAAACAGGTTCAATAGACGCTTTGCTTGGACACAAATGCTGTAGCACGGGTGACTGCTGTTTGACTTGCAGAGACCACACCTGAGCTTTGTCCAAAGCTCTTCTTGGCAGTTTTAGCCATGTTGCTGGGTCCTTGCAGGAACCAGCTGCAGGATGTTCAGGAGTCCTAGTTTCAGACAAGCAACTAGAGAGTGACAATGCACTTGAGGGCAACCGTCATCGAAAGGAGTATGATCGGAACTCCCGCCCAAACACTGCATGTCAAATTTGCCTACATTGGGAGGATTGTTTCCGAGATCAACGTAGGCATATAAATTTTGTATATATGCCATACATGGATCGAGTGTTTGGGACGTACCATGCGTTTAAAGTTGTACATGATTTTTGTACTTATAGACCATTCTGCGATGGAGTCCTTCACAGAGTAGGTCGGCCGCTTTTGAGGCCACCGTGAACACCGACCCAGGCGCGTAGTGCATTAATCAAGCATGTTTGAGTTTGGAACGGATGAGACTTTCTCAAACGGATCGTTTTGATTCCCACGTTCAGAGACTACATTGGGACATATTGGTTTGAACTGACTCAATGTTGCACCCTGTTCAGTCATGTTGCTTTCATCTGAGAGCTCTTCAGATTCAGCAGCACACTTTCTCAATGATGAGAATAGCTGCTCTACGGGTCTTAAAGCTTTTGATTCACTCGGTTTCTGGTTCATAGCCCTTCTACTAGAGCACAAACCGCAGCACAAAGACCCTTTGCTGCCATTGGAATCCAATGGACCGTGGCGCAGCGAAAGGCGCAGCGTGCAGCGCCGCACGTTCGCTCGCGCGCGCCGCAGGCTGCACTTGGAGCACCAGCTCAGGCAACTCGACGGGCTACGAGTGTGAGGCGGCCAAAGACAGACGGGCCGCGAAGGTCCTGTCGACGGTTTTGGAACATGGATCACATCGATGGTTTTGGAACTAATGAGGTGCCGTGGAAGGGATGTTAGGTGCACAAATAATCATTACCGATCCATCGATTCAGTCGATTCATACCTGGACTATACCCGTGGCGGTTTCCCGTATTAAATGGAGGGGGCCAACGTACTTTATAAAACGGTTTATACATGTTTATACTGTGTATACCTCCCCCCTTTAGTTTATTATATGTTTCATGTTGGGTCAGGGATGGTTTGTCTTATATGTTTTCTGGGGTCAGCCCAGCCCACTTTATATATAAAAGGACTGTCAGGACCCCCTGCAGGGATCTACCACAGGGATCCTGGACTGACCCTCCACTCTAGAACATGGGACATGACCCTAGACGAAGAGGTACTTGTTCTCATTTTCAGAGGTGCTTTAAGACACATGCAGATGATTCAATACTGGCCACCTACGACCACCAGCTTGACTTCTCCCTACCAGGGAAATTGATCAAAAGCCAACGAATCAACCACCTTCCAACGGGCTTTTCCTTCGATTGCGGGTTTCTGCACAACTCGGTGCTGCTGAGAGCCAAAGGCCAAGGGATAGGGTCTTTGTTTTGCATATGGCTGTGCCATGACCCACAGCCATATCTCGCTTTTGCTCAGCACCTTCTAGTTCATGACCTCGAACTGGAGTCCCAACGACCGGGCGAGCAGGGCACGAAGCGCCGTGCCGAACGCGGCCAGGATGGCAGCTTTTGTGCCACCGAGGGCTGTTGCAGCCCACGTCGATGCCCCGACCACATGCCGGTGATGCTGCTCGGCGCAAAGGGAGACCGAGGAGGAACACTTTGGCGAGTTTGTTTGCCTTTTTCAGGCAGGGCCGATTGTTAGCTAGCGGGCTAAAGACCCTTTATAGTTATAGTTTGCGGAGCCGATGGCCAGATTGGCATTATTTGACACAAACAGGCTTACCGGCCGGGGGCTTCTGGAACAAAAACTCTAGTCGTCACAGGCTTCTGCCCAAAGGTCGCTGGTTGTGCGAGGCCTTCTTTCTTTTCGCCGCAGCGTCAGTGCGATGTTTAGATGACGAGGCGGGAGTATCATGAGGAGGTCCACAGGGCCCGATGTAGCTTTGGGCTCTGAGTGAAAGCTTATTCAGAGACCCTGTTCCATCAAGCCATATCAAGCTGCACCACACCTCAGGAGCCATATAAGACTTCGAGCCCAGGACATTTAGGAAAGAGTCGTTTTCACAACAGGAAAAGGGAAAGGCCAACGACCAGGTGTGCCAATGCACTACTGCGCATGGACTGTGAACTCTGAACAAGTGTTTGTTTTGAAATTTGCCTCGATGTTGAGCCACCTGGAAGGAAATACATAGGCACGGGGGTCTATCAACCACCCTTTGGATGGTGCTGGCTAAGAGTGTTTGATTTTTTTTCCTCTTTTGGTTTCTACTTTTGGGAGTTGTGCTGGATGATGGCGATCGACTTGTGTGCAGAAGGTGGCCTCATCCAGAGTGTTTGGACATATGGCCAGTGGGTTTCATGATCTTCCAAACTATTTGAAGAACAACGTGTGTGTTGTGTGTGTGTTGTGTGTGTGTGTGCGCGTGTGGTGTGTGTGTTTCAGATTGTTTCATTTTTGCATACAGACAGTGTGTGTTCTCTGTGTGTGTGTGTTGTAAAGAATGTTTGCTATGCCCAGTGACCTACATCCTAGTGATGTAGTGTCATACCATCAGACCTGCCCCGTCTTAGCAGCCCCGACTGCCCCAAACGTCTAATCGTGTTCTTTGGTGTTGAGCAATCGAGGTGGTTCTTTGATCCCTGCGAGTCCAGGACCATGTCGACCATTCTTTGGAAGTATGATGAAGTATGCACATAGAGTTGCCTCCGTCAGGAGGTGACCCTACATCGAGCGTTGGGTATCTTTATTTCGGGGAGCCATGAGTGTGTGTTGGATGTGTTTGGATGGGAGTCGACCTGTTCGATTCGTTCGGGACAAAGAGGGTCACGAGGTCACGAAGGGCTCACGGCTCGGGTCCTGGGCTACGTTGGGCCAACTTGCTTGATGGTACATAAATCCAGGGAAATCCCTACAAAACCCCTGCATTGCACTCAAAGCTTCATCCAAACCATCCAAGTTCGAAGCTTCTGAATCTGTTTTACTTCGGGCTCGGATCATGAAGTCACATTTCCAGGTTCTCGAGTACTTGAAGTCAGATCCAGGTGGGTCCCATTGGGGGTAAATATGAACGTCCTCGGGGGAACCGGGAAGATGATGACTGTTCTTTGTTGCTTCCTTTTGCAGTCGTTTCAGAGTAGACGATGACACGGCACTTCGGCCCCCAAGACATATAAACCACCAAACTTGCGGGGCCCAAACGTGCCATCGAACCTCTGAAAATATTCGAATATCCAAGTGCTTGGTTCTGGGGTGTGCTGACAAAGGGTTTAGGGTTTTAGGGTAGTCACTGACGGATCAGGACCTCTCTCTTTCTTTCTTTGTACCGAAAGCTCATCTATAGCGTGATCGAAAGGGCCATCCCCTTGGCCCTAGGCACGCACGCACATCGGTTCCAGAGACTAGACCCTAGAACCTCAGAGGCTTGTTTTTGGGATATTACGTATACCTATATACTATACAAAAAAAAACATATACGCTCATGTATATGCTCACAATATAGGCACTGAGAAGGCGTTAAGCCACAAACAGCATGGACCTGCTTCCCTCAGGTGTGCAGATAGCTCCTGCAACGGCCACTTCTGCTGTGCTGCCGACAGCGCTGGCTGCGACACGAAGGGAGGTGTCAGGCCGATGGAATGTGGTGAATGGAAATTCGGAAAGGGGGAAGGCTCCTCCTTCAAATTGCGATTTGTCGGATCTGAAGTGGTCTTTTGAGAAGAAGTAGAGACAACTCCTAGGCAAAAACTCAAGGTCGATTTGTCAGGCGCCAACATGTTCAATGTTCAAAAAAAGATAGTTTAAGGTTTTTTGATGTCTAAGAGATACTAACGTGAAATTTGATTCAAGGAATCAGATTAGCTTGCATCCATAAATGGTCCCCTCGAGGCAAACGTGTTCTATTGCCACCATGCGCACACGGTCACCTCAGTTGTGGCTGGTAGTAGTTACGAGAGAAGATGACCTCCACATACAGGTGGTTGAGCATGTTTTAGATTGTTTTACTTGATCTTCCTACATGTAAACAAACGCCTTTCTCAACAGGTGTATATCAAAAAGCACCAAAACTGCACCGTGAATCTCTGAAGACAGATCCACCACCACACACCACGGCATGAAAATGCCTTCCACATCCGTCCCAGCTACGAGGCCTTGCTTGGAGTCACAGGTGCCTGCCAAGGAGCCCAGCATTCTTCAGGCGAGCAGCGGAACGGTGTTTTGTTTTGCCTCCAGGGGGGCCAAGGTTGGCTTAGTGAACACCTGGAAGTTCCTGGGAAGGCATGTGAACCCAAAGGCTTTTTGGAGAACTCTGGGGTTGGGTGGCAAAAGGCGGCTCAAAGGATGTTCCTCATGGTGAGGAACAGATCTTGACATATATGACATACTTTCCTTTGTGGCCAATGAGAAGTTGACACTGACGGTTTTTAACCTTTTGGACCCTCCAAAGTACTGAGAATGGGACATATATGACGCATGGTCGCGGAGCGATCTGAGGCACTGAGCTACATTACTTGTACCCATTTTCCGAGGTACGAACTGAGACTCCAGGCAAAAATGTAATTCCTGACCAGTTGGCCGCATGACTGCCTATCACAATCTGTGACTGAACTGCATGTAAGTATGTTTAAACACCAAGAAACGGGGCGAAACGGGAATTTTCCTCGAATGGATCGAAGGCAAGGGCAACTCCTGACCTCCAACACCTCCAAGCATCTCCCCCCAAAACAGGCAGACGGGCATCTGAGACACTAGGAGACCTCCAGCTTCCCCCTCCATCCTTGAGGCTCCAGCGTCCGCGTCCGCGTGTTCTCGCGACGGTACGGGTGGGACAGGTCTGACCGGTCGCCTCGTCGTCGTCGGACGCTGTCATGACGGAGGTGGATTCGCCCAGCAGCAGCTCCTTGCAGATCACCTGGACACCTGGAAGCTGCTGGGCCCAAAAAAAACGCGTCGGCTGCGAAGCATGCGTCACCGGGCAAGCAGCGAACCATGCGTCACCGTTTTAGGAGTCCGCTGCTTGATGCGTCTCTTCACCAACGAAGACGACCGGTGGACCGGGTGGACCTGGCTGGTCGACCCAGTGCCGGAACTGGAGATCGACCTGGCTTTTTGGAGGTTTTGGGATCGGAGGGGGAAGCTGATTTTGCCGTAGAATGTGTCCAGATTTGCGGCCAGAGCTTCTTGGGTGATTTCGTGAGTTTGGAGATTTGGCACTTTTTGGAATCTCCAGTCCTCGTTGGACATGAGCCCCAGTATGTCCCAGTAATGTTTTGAGGCCTTGTGCTTGGTCACGGTTTGACCTCAAGGAAGATCACCAGGGTTACTTGCGTATGTGTACCGGTAGTTTTAGACTTATACGTATATAGACGACACAAGACACAAGCCGAGTGTGTGGAAATTCTTTGATTTAAACATATTTCAATGACAGGGTTCCGCTGCCATGGGTAAAATCGGATTTTGATCGTCTCAAAGTCGGTCCTACAGCCCGTAGAGCTCACTTCTCAAAGCAACCAGGCCCCAGAAGTCCAGTTCGACCATTTTTGTTGACGTCGAAGTGGTCAGGAAGTTTCAGTTCTGGGTCAAGTCAGACCATTCTGTTTATAGTCAACTGGACTCCCAGGGAGGCCATGGTCATCCCTACCTTCGTGCCGCTCCAAGGCTATGCCTCTGGATTTACCGCCCCATGCGGGCAGGCGGGGGAGCGTCGCTGGGTCAACCGGCGGGCAGGGCTGCAGCTGAGCTCAAGTCAGGCCGTTGTGTGGCCCAATTCGAGGGAACCTTTAAAAGTGGAACTCAGACGAAGAAGAAACCAGGACCCTCCTGTCGTGGTGTCTATATACCCAGCCGCTCCTGGTCGCTGAAAACCGGGATTCAGTTCGACCCCCGACACCTCCAGATTCGGTCTCAGGTCGTGTCTGGGTATAGGTTATTTTGTGTGTGTGGTTGATTTGTTTGAATTGGAGGTGATTGGTTGGTGACTTGGAACTTGACAACTGCCTGGTGCTTGACGTTTGACTTGATTAGTTGGGAATGACTACCCCAGTTGACATGTTTGAGAAGTGTTGTTGTTTTAACATTGTTTAATCATGAATCCAGACAACCCAACTGACATTTCACCAAGTCAGTTGACATTTTGTTGACTGGGTTTGGAGTGATCAGGGTTGTCAACCATGTTCAATCCATGTGCTGAGTTCTTCGAGTTTCAGAGTGCTTCCCCTGCATCAGGCGCACGAAAAAAGATGAAACAGATGCGGATCGAAGATCCATCCTGTTAAACCCCCATCGACTTCTCATCTTCCTCATCCCCAAACGCACCGAGATCCCCTTCGCTTTCCATCGCTTTTCATCCCGACGTCTCGCATCCATCCCTCGGTCAGGGCGGTGTGAGCGAGTTTCTCCAGTGGTCCGTGCAGGTCACTGAAGCAGAGGAGTGCTCTCTCCGCCGCTCGTGGGGGCGAGCGAGGTGAGTTCGCCGGATGGAGGTGACTTGAGGATTTGGAGGGTTGCCATGCGTGGTCTGGTGATGTGTCCACTGGTATACCCTCTTGGTGGTCCTGAAGCCCAGTCAGGCCTGTCCTTCGTTGCAGCTGCCTTTCTTCATGTCCCACTCCGAGCCTTTGAAACCGCTTTCCGCGCGCCGCTTTCCGCCGGTGCCGCGCCGCTTGAGGAGGAACGTTGGCGTAGCGTGGAGTGTTCTGGCTCCCGAAGCAGCAACGTGTGCCTCATTGAGAACCTCCTGGCGGATCGTTTCTACGAGGCCGTCGTGCCTTTTGAAGAAGTGGTTCAGGTGATGAGGAGGAAGGTGGTTCAAGAACTGGGATTCATCTTCCAGGGGTGACATCTTCCAAGCCAAGAGAGACCCTACAGGATCGACTAGCTGTTCCACGAGATATTTGTTGTGAGAGGCCCTTCCTCCCATGCGTTTGCTTCTGCAGGTGGTTCCAAGTGCAGGAAGGGTACCACGAATGATTTTGCATGAGAACAAACTGAAGATGACACATGTGTCCTCTAGCACTACCCAAAGAGTGGTTTATAGAACCCCCTGACTCTGTATGTTCGCTGTAAAGTACTGACTCGTGCACCTCGCGCACGCATTCTCCAGCTCCACTGCCATCAAGGCCACGGCATGGTCTTGGGTCTTCTCCACCGCATTCACCTAAGAGCAATGGCCTCCAACCTACTAGCGACGGCCTCCAACCTACTTGGCCTCCAACCTTCTTGCAATGGTTACTTGCGATGGCCTCCAACCTAAGAGCTATAAGGTCTTTTCCACCGCATTCATGGCAGGTTCGTTTGGCGGAGCTTTGCGTGGATCGACAGTTGGATTCCACGTACAGCGTCGGGGAGGCCCAGAGGTCCCGTCGCTCGTGAGGAGCAACCGTCCCGAGCATGAAGCGTACCGGGAAGCGTAGTAGGTAGAATCTCAATGAAGGAAGTTGATGTAGTCCATTTTGGAACAACGGTTTCTGGTTGGAACGGACGGTTTCCAGGCCCTTGTTTAATGGGTGGAGTGTTCCAAATTTCACTTTTAGACGAGCCTATGCAAGACTGAAGAGGGGGGTTAAGGGGTCCATGAGGGGAATTTAGTTGATTTGTCTCATGGTGTGCCGAAGGTTTATCGATTTATCGAACCATATTGTTTATTTTCCCCGGGGATGTTATTTGCTTCAGGTGCCAGGACAGCAAATCGGGCCCTTTGAGATGCCAGGATGAGGTCCGAAACATGGTGACACGCCCCATACACAGCCGTGTGTTTGGGACATGTGTTGTTAAAACATGGAGTTGACATGCCTGGCTGCCTGCCTCCTCTATAGAGAAATCTCTGTTCTTCCTCTCTTCGAAAGCACGACATCACCTGGGGTCGTAAGCTGACCGGGCTTCGACATGGGCGGTCTCCATGTAGCACAGATCCTGTTCGCTCGCCAGTCCGCTCGCCAGATCCATCACTCGGGAGATGTCCCGTGCCACTCAAACAGGTTATCATCCCTCCTGCATGGCGGTCACGGGAGCTGGTCACTTTCTACTGGAGCCACTGGAGCAAGTCATTTCGACTGAGTGCCGTTGGCGCAAACGGTGCCGTTTGCACGCATGATAGAAGCTCAGCGAATCCCAGCAGATGCAAGGGCCGCCTTGGCGATCAATGGCACCAGCAAAGCCATTGCTCCCCAATCCATGGCAAGCGTTGAAGCAGCTCGGCAACTGCCAGCGAAGGCCTTTTCGCTCATGGATCACCTTCTGACGTGCTGGACGGAACAACCGCCAGCCTCATCCATCCGAGACCTCTTAGCATTTCAGCCGCGGGCACTGGACCTCGAGCGGTGCCGAACTCTGGTCGATCAAGAGGGTCTGCTGAGCTGCCTAGGCGCGGACCACTCGGACCACTCGGACCAGGTCTCTAGGCTGAAGCCCTTCGTTGGCACCGTGTTGCCGGGCCAGGAAGAAGCCCCGAGACGCAAGACTGGGAAGAAGGGTCAGAAGGTCTCTGAGCTGATCAGGTCAGAGACCTTCTGACCGTTGGGAAGTTCCTGGAAGATCAGGTCAGAAGGTCTCTGTGAACCCCGTTCACGCTCAGGCTCCAGCTTTGCTCACAACCACGGAGGTGCACGCACTGCGAATTAGCTGGAGGGTGCAACACATGACTTGCCCCACAGCAGTTCAGGGCCATGATGCTCCTTGAACTTGTGTGGGGCGAACGTGCATTCCAAGCGGTTTGTTCGGATCTTCCTGGGCGCTGTTGCTTCAGTTGAAGGGCATCCTTCACACGTCTTCATCGCTTCGCTACGTCTGGCCGCACTGACCGAGACACCCGGTCGGATCGGCGGCACAAGTCGGGTGTAGATCTGACGGCCAGGTCGACTCAGCATGGCCCATAGACTCCACGGGACTGCCAGGACGGACTGCCGATCAATTGGGGTGGTGCCAGGGGGGTCAATTGATCGGCATGTATGGCATACATGGAGTGTATGGGTGGTGATTGTGAACAAGCAAGCAGCTGCCGAAAAATTCAATCCGTTGTTTGGCAGCCCCAGGGCTGCACAGTAGATGCCACAGGTTCTAGAACTACGCTAACCCTAGCGGCCCTAGCGATAGAAAAAAAAGAAGAAGACGTTGCGCTGTGTTCGTCGCGTGCTCGTGGGCTGTGGAAGTCCAACCTGCAGAAAAAAGGGGTGGTGTGCAAAGACTTGGAGTGCTGCCAATGTTGATCTCTCATCATTCTTTGCAGTTTGCAACTCCCGAGAGCCATGTTTCTCGTGCCTGCGACAGCTTCGTGTGGGAACATGGCAGATCGTGTCGGTGTGTTCACCCTGCAGTTTCGCTGTCCCTGTATGCAAGAGTTAGATATAATGCTAGATACTGTACATTATACCCCATTCATGACGGACATGTACGTTAACTATTCCAGTCTCATAGATGGTCTGATGATGGTTTGTTAATTCAGTTTTCCCATCCCTCACAATTTCCGAAATTTGCCAAAGCAGCCGTCAAAGCAGAAAAACACCTGGACCTTTGAGGGGTCTCCTGTCTGAAAATCCCATCCAGCAGCCGTTATAGTGAGCTGGGACTTCTATCCAGGTGACCCCAAACTGAAGGTGCTGAACAACCGCCCAACACATCCCTAGGGCTCCAGTCGTACCTCCTCAGAAGGTATGACTGGACCCTCTAAATCCTTTCCAAACACCTTCTATAAGAAGGTACAACTGGAGCCCTAGGGCATGTTTCATTCTTCGACGTGTCTCTCTCTTCGCCCCAACAAAGGCCGCCCCCCAAAACGTCGCTCCCTCTCGGCTGCGGCGGGGTCCGCCGCCGCCTCCAGCCGCCTCGAGGTGGCGCTGGGGCGCACCCGGCCTGTGGCTGCGGAGAGTCCTTCCACGTGGTCCATGGAGCTAGGCGCCGCTCCACTACCGGGGGGTTCAAGCAGATGGGGCCACAAAAACCACCCCATGTAAGTATGGTATACCTGGTTTTGTTGAAGTGATGTTGTTGGTTTTCCCTATGGATCAATCCCCTTCTTCTGGTGAATAGGTTTTTTCTCGGTTCCTCAAGCAAATCCAAGTATATCACTATATGCCTACATTGCTCTTGGAAATGCATGGAGTGTTTGGGCTAGGAAGTACGTGAAGCTGTTTCAATACTATATTCATGCACTAGTGGACTAGTGGTCATGGCTGGGGTACGGGACGGTGGTCGGAATGTGGGATGCGCAAGATTGAGAGTTGCGAGACCGTTTGTTTGGGGGTCATGGGAAGAAACCTATGCCCTATGCAACCACCTGATCATGTGCTAAAGACTTCTCCTGTGAGTGGTCCTCTTCAGGAAAAGACTTGCGGCATTGACAGCTCCTCCGTCGGTGGTGGCAGTGACATGCAGAGGTGATCAAGACTGGGTGCCACGCCGCTGGCGAGGACGAGCTTCCAAACCCGTCCTGCATCGGAGGAATGGTCCAAGAGCCAGATCGGCCTGGCTCACCAAGCCAGACTTGAAGCCGAGTATGGCAGCGGACGAATGGTCCAACAGCCACATGGGCCTGGCTCATCAAGTCTGGCTGCTTCATCGATCCATCGAATCCAAGTGGTAGCGCCACGCGAGCTCGAGGACACGGCTGGACAACCGGCCGTTGTCTCGTTGGTTTCGCTGGCGGGTTTAATATCAATGCGGTGTGTATATTGACATAGGGAGACCCTCCCAGGCAGTTCGACCCCCTGGTTGAGAAGGGAAAGAGACCAATCTACCCATATCTACCCAGTTTACCAGGTCTACTTATCCAATTAGGCCCGGATGTTTGGGGGAAGAGGTTTTTGGGGGAACTCCAGGGTAGTGAACCAGGATGGTAAGGCTCTCAAAGGAGTAGCAAGACACTCCCTACCAAGTTGATGGTTTCCTTCCAACATCTCACCTTCCTTTGACAAGATGTTCCACGATAATTGAAAAATCCCTTGCGATCCACCTCCCTCAGACCTGTTGCTGTGCAGCACAAACCCAAAAACGGGTCAGGCTCGGTCGAGCGACATGCGTCAGCCTATTCCCTCGCCCATCCGAAACACTCCATGGGAACGGAAGATTTTCCTACATGGATGGGTGGTTTGTTCAAATGTTTCAAGGGCCTCCTGCAGATTAATAGGACCCTGAAAAGCAGTGGGTGGTAGATGAGAATGGCCTTGCAGGGGCCCATTTTCACGGTCTATGCTAGTCTGCAGGGGGGCAGTGTATATAAAACATATTCCATTGATTAATAGAAGCACCTTCAGTTCGGGGTCACCTGGCTGGTTTCGCCCCAGCCCACTACTTATAGGGATCTTCAGACAGGACACCCCAACAGCAAGGTCCAGGTATAGGGATTCTTGGGGAATTCATGGTGGCATGTTATATTCAATTAGTAGGTTGGAGGCCGTCGCTAGTAGGTTGGAGACCCTGCCTTGGAATAAAACATAGACATCCGCCTTTGAGCCTTTGTGGCCATCCTGAGCTGGTCGCCCAAAGACGGCCGACGTGAGGCGGTGACGTGTTGAACGTCACATGGCAGCCGGGAAGCAACGTCCATGACTGCCTCTTCGAGAGCTGGCAGCTCTCCTGGAGGCGCTTTCCCGGCTTCGGCGTTGAACGAATTCGCCGTTCAGGGTGACCTTTGAGCCTCTGAAGAGGCGGAACCTATGGAGTGGAACACCCAGAGTTGGCCAAGATTGTTCAGGACTTTGGGGATGAACAGCGCGGTCCACCGATCCAACTGAGGGTGGGACATCGGTGGGCGACTGATGAGGTGGAGATCGGCAGATTTATTGGCAGGTATCTGAAAGTATTGGTCCTGCACCGTGTTTCCCTATGGATCCGCATACCTTCTCA